AAAAAAAAAAAAAAAAAAAAAAAAATATTAACACCTGGTTAAATTTTACCTCTGTTAATCCAGAAAGACCACCACTTGGTTCCTTGAACACATTCTGGATATCAAGCAGCATCTCAAAGTGCTTAAAACAATTCAATTCTCCATAAGAATGTGAAAGCTGGTGTATGTCGCATTGAAAATTGTAGCCTGTACATTATTTTTAACCATAAGTTCAGCCAATATTTGAACTTTCATGCTATTCAACTTAAAACCATAGAACAGAAATTCATATTCTGCTATGAATGGCCAAAAAAAATGACACCTCTACCGTCTTAAATAAAATCGATTATAGCATACAGATGGGAATTGAAAATTGATAATAAATGCGAAAACTGAAAAAGCAAACTAGTGTCACAAGTAAAGATGAAAAACAAGATCGATTTAGAACAGGAGAAACTCTGAGAATGCATTAGTCTAATACGAAAGATGAATTTCTTCTATGGTTCTATATTAGTACGCATGTGATTTTACATCCCCGTAACTTCTCGTAATTAGACTCCATGAGTGTTCAATTTCAGTTCACAAGTTCAAAAACTGCAATTTTTTGTTTGCGAAAATTATATAGAAGCCAACAAATTTTCCTTACCAAGTTTTAGAATACTTGGAGAGTGCAACAGGCGGGAAAGGCATTCGTCAAGAACACTTGGAACATCTTTAGAGAGCTTGATAAGGTCTAATATATAAACCTTCTTCTCAGAGGCAATTTGCATTATAGAAACCTGCAGAATGCGATACTATTTCACAGTTAGTGAGGTATTACAAAATATATGATAAAATATCTTCTGCCAGAGGGAAATTGTGCATGCTTCGTCATCTTTCAAACAGAACTATTTCCATCCACACCAACAACAGGAGAAAAGAAAAAGAAAGAAAGAAAGAAAAAAAAAAAGAAACTTTTACATAATGCAGAGGAAATATATGACTAGAAATATATGGGAAGAAACTTAACGACACAACAGAAGAATAAAAGAAAAAACTAATACATAATGCAGAATGTATGCATAAACCTTTTCTTCGCATAAAAAATGAGATTTAGTGTAAGGAAACGTTGCACGAAAAATAATGCAGAATAAATTGGAAGAAGACAATTAAATTGTCCCGCATGGTAAGTGATACAAACACTTACCTTACTAGGTTTGCTGCCCTTTACAAAGTTAGGTTTCCACTCACAGTCAAAACCAACAACTTTACATTCCTCAAAGTAGCTTATTGCATCACGCAAACTATTGACCTCATCAACCCAACAAACATCCTCAATATTTAATTCATGAAGGTTCAAATAGCGACGGTGCAGGTCTGGTTCGGACTCTGTAAAAGATTGTGAATCATAAAATGCAAAATAAATTGCCTCTAAATCAATAAAGTAGTTGTTAATCAAAAGCATAATATCCATCCAGTCAGTAATCGAGAGGTCAGTCAACAACGGAGAAAAAGAAATGTAATTATCCAAAATGTACTATTTTCTTCGGTATTTGTACCCGAGTTATTACACTACCGTTGGAAGCAAACTCCAGAGATAAGCATAAACCACAAGCTAACAAACTACTAAAATCACATATTTGACACGAAATTTCAAGCAGACTCTTAGATACTAGTCAGAGCCCATTTAATAGACTTTAATTCAAATTTCACCCGATAAAACATGTTTTCAACCAGCGAACTTTAGCAATTCTTTTATTAGAGGATGTACTCATTTTGGCACTATATACTGAGAAGGAACACTAATGTATACTATATACATTGGACCTTACGAAGAAGCTAATGCAAAAGCATAACGAAGAGGAATGAAAAATTCGCATACATTGTTCGAATGCACAAAATCAAGTAGGTGTAATGACAAAAGTTAACAATTTTTGTTCCATTCCTTGAAAACTTCAATACATTCACTTCTTAGTCATATCTGCCCATAAGTAAAATCAAATACAATAACTAACATTCTTCAACCATACCTCTGAAGTTCATAAAACCTTTTAGAGAATAGCGATCACAAAGCTCTTCAACCTTTTCAAAATAGCCAGCTTCCATTGCCAAATATACCTGAAATATTAAGAAAAATGTGTCAAGTTCCCGCTCACTTCTCTTTGTCAAGTTTATAGCACCAGAACTGTAACAATCACAACCATGTATTTTAAATTGGAAATATAACCACTGTAATAATCTATATGCTTTTAATTCCTTGTCAAAGAAAAATATACATAATATGTATTATTTGTAAACAGTGTTCTACTAATCAGTTTTCTGTATCCTACCCCTCACATTCAGTTAACTTTTTAAGCAGTGTACCACGTGAAGTCGGTAAAATTGACTTGAGGCAATAATATTAAGTTCAGGTAAGAAGAATCGCAAAAATCATTTACCCACCAAATATTCAAGAAGTTGTCTATCACCATTGGCCCTTGCTTCTGCTATCTCCCAGACCCCTTTTTCCGCAAGCTTCTTCAGTGAGCTGAATCATGTACCAAAATTATCACGAGAATATAGAACACTGTATCTAACAAAATTACCTCTAAATAAATGGATAGCGTAAGACCAGAAACTACTTGCCTTTCTTTACTCTGATGATAGAGCTCCGGAAACTCCTGACGCAAATTATTTTTCTTTATAACATCATAAGCAGATTTCAACTGTTTCTGGTCAACATATTCCTGCACGAGAAGACACAACATCGGCTTCCCCAAAAATGCCGCCCACTTCTCCGCTGCTTTCAACTGACGGAGCTCAATCAGTTTCAGCAAAAACGACTCACCCAACTGGAAGATGGAGAAGTGTATCAAAAGGTCAACAGCAGTCATATACGACTCAGATTCGATCAGCTTTAAAGCATACTGTTCAACAACGTCTTTTGCTGCGTCATCACAATTCAGCTTATCGATATCCGTTAAACTCACGCCAAAAACTTTAACGATTTTAATTAGAATCCCTTCTTCGTGCGCTAGAGTACCACCAATGATGTCCAAAAATAATCTGGCTGCACGAATTTTCGCGTTGACTGTATCCTTGTCATTTTTCCTAATTTTCAGGTAACGGGCAAGGGCAGATAGTACCAAATGACTGAAACCATCACAGTATGTTTCAAATATGGGCAGCACGTGGAGGCAGTTAGCAATTAGAGTTGAGGGCCCAACTTGGGGATTGTTGAGAAAAACAAGATACAGTTGTTGTTGTAATGCACGAAACTTCATTGTTGCTTTACATGTACCTGGGAAATAAGTAAAAACTAGTTAACGTGAATTAATGGTTTCCGTTAAGCACAATGTTTACACTCTTTCATATATTTGACTTCTTACTTTCCAATCAGAAACATGCAAGGTTAGTATAGTGATCAGAGGGAAAGGACATCAAGAGTGTACAAGGTTATTACACTTCATTAGTAAGAATCGTAACACTACAATCAGATTACTGACAGCTAGGAACATCAATAAATATATGGACATGCTTGTTTTGAAAGAATGGATGCATCTTTGTTCATAATACATAATAGATAAGTAATTATTGTACATTTGAAGGAATTGTGTTCAAAATGGACTGAATATAGGAGTTAAGCGTACTTTGTGTCAAATCATTTTCTGGTTTTTGCTTAGATGTTAAAAAGCTACTAACTCCACGAAACTAATAGGTCTACTAAATAAATGTGAACTTTCTAAGTTACTGTATTTTGCAAGGTTCAAAAACTGAAATGCCACAACTAACCAAAGGGTGCTCTCTGCACTCACACAGAGAGATGATTCTATAGCAGGGAAAACTATTTGATTAAAATGAATCCAAAACCGGACCGACTACAACTTGACAGATCACAGCTTCACAAAATCAGTTTAACAATAGACCATGAGAAAAATGTCACATATGGTAAAGAATATACTCATGTGATTTAAATCACAAAAATCAGGAAGAACAACTGAACTCACCATATGCATAACATCCTTTGAGGAGATACAAGAAGACCAATGGGGAAACACCAGTTAGATCAAAATACGCATGCTTGGAGATAGCTGTCTGCGAATTTATCCAAGTGTCACCCATTCCCATGGTTAATATTGTAGAACCTACCAGAATCGAAATGGCACGTTACATGGCTTCTCATAATTATACAGAGAAGCAGATGCTGAAATTAGGTCAGAATAAGATTAGGCAAAAGAGCTGTTTCTTTCACTAAAAGTTTTTACCAAACAAACAAATTAAAAATTGGGTCAAATGTATATAAAACAATCACCCTAGTAGCAGCACCTTTAATTATATGTACTTCCAAACATTGAAATCTATGCCAATGTGATTTTAGATGCACCTGCCTCAACAACTATCTGGTAGTTGCATAACATTTAAGCCAGATCTAATATATGTTTCAAAAGATAAAAATTGGCGTTCATTTAACATGTTTAATATTTTATGCATGATAATTGTGCCTTTGTTTCCTGCATGTGTGTGTAATGCCCTGAGTCATGATTTATGTAAATAGGTAAAGAATGAGTTTTATTTCTATTTCCGAAAGTATGCACTAAAATTTCTCGCCAATTTGAAAACCGATAATTTGTGTATTATATTGGTAATGCAAATAAAGAAGAACGAGCAAAAGATGTGCAGATCTGATTGATTAACCGGACTACACCATCTCTCTCTACTTATCTCTCTGTCTCAATAGGTTTTTAATTTCTACGGTGATTCAATTGTAAGATTAATCGCATACTCCAAATTAATGGCAAATAATCCTCGTGAATTAATTTGCCATTAACGGCAAATTAATGGCAAATAATAATAAATAAAAAAAGGAAATAACTACGAACACGTCGACCCTCAACATCAAATCAATTTAGAGATAACATAAAATTTCACCTCAATGCATAACCACGAGCTAACAAAGTCTCTGAACTCAATGCATAACACGAGCTACTATTATATTTCACCATTAAAAACAGTTGGAACAAGAAACAATACACAAAAATCAACCACGAATTAGGCTATGTAATCTCCTGTGTGATCCAACAATACAACAATAACAAAAATATCAGAACGGAGAAAGTGTTGGAATTCAGAAACTGACAGTATGCACAGTACATACCAATCCAATAGAACAGTTCCATAGAAGTAAAACTCAGTAATTGCATGAACAGCAAGTCCAAACCTCAATCGAAAAAAAACCCTAAATCACACACACACACACGCACAAACGAAGGTCTCACAGACAACATAGAAAACAGCA